ATCCTAGCCAAAATCTATGTCAATGACTATTGACTCCAATGACTATGGACACAAAGTCAAAGACTCTTGACTCCAACTTAATATCTATTGACTCCAAGTTGATGACTATTGACTCCAAGTTGATGACTATTGACTCCAAGTCAATGACTATGGATTCTAAATCAATGACTAATGCAGATCAATGACTATTTATTCTAAGTCAATGACTGTTGACGATGTCACTGACTATTGTCTCAAATTTATTGACTACATCAATGGATATTGACCCCAAGTCAATGACATTTAACTAAGTCAATTGGTATTGACTCCATGTCAGTAGCCGTTGTCTCCAAGTCAATGACTATTGACTCTAAGTCAATGACTATTGCCCCTTAGTCAATTACTATTGCCCCTTAGTCAACGACTATTGACTACAAGTCAATGACTATTGACTAAAAGTCAACGACTATTGACTACAAGTCAGTTGACTCCATGTCAATGACTATTGACTCCAAGTCAATGACTTTTGATTCCAAGTCAATGACTATTGACTCTAAATCAAGTTAATGACTCTACTCCAAGTCAATGACATTTCACTTCAAGTCAATGACTATTGACTCCATGTCAATGACTATTGACTCCAAGTCAATGACTATTGACTCCAAGTCAATGACTATTGACCCTAAATCAATGAATATTGACTCTAAATCAATGAATATTGACTCTCAGTCAATGAATACATACCCAGTTCAATGACTATTGACTCCAAGTCAATGACTTTTGATTCCAAGTCAATGACTATTGAATCTAAATCAAGTTAATGACTCTACTCCAAGTCAATGACATTTCACTTCAAGTCAATGACTATTGACTCCAAGTCAATGACTATTGACTCCAAGTCAATGACTATTGACTCCACGTCAATGACTATGGACATCAAGTTAATGACTATTGACTTCAAGTTAATGGCTATTGACTTCAAGTCAATGAATATTTACATCAAGTCATTGTCTACTGACTCCAAGTCAATGACTATTGACTCCAAGTCAATGACTATTGACTCCAAGTCAATAACTATTGACTCCATGTCAATAACTATTGACTCCAAGTCAATAACTATTGACTCCAAGTCAATGACTATTGACTCCAAATATTATTGATTCCAAGTCAATGACTGTTGACTGAAGTCAATGACTTGGAGTCAATGATTATTGACTATTACTATGAACTCCAAGTCAATGACTATTGACTCCAAGTCAAAAACTATTGACTCCAAATATTATTGACTGCAAGTCAATGGCTGCAGAAGTACGATTGATTCCAGTAAACTATTTGTCAAAGTGTTTGTTTCTTAAGTCTTTTGTTTCACTTAGAAGTAATTATCAAGAACTAAAATTCAAACCACTGTACACAATGCCACTAAAAAGGAATTTTCGCGCGCGCACACACACACAAGAGAAGTTTAATAATCCACAATTAATTTCAACCTTCCATTGAATTTTAGTTTTTTTTGTATTTAAATTTAGAATGCGTACATCCAACCGACAATGTGCCAGTCGTCATCATGTATGGGGAATATGCGTATTATTTCCATAAGAAGTTTATTGTTCGGATTCCCAGCATTATTCTAAGCTATAATTGTATGAAATTAAAATATATAGATAGATATTTTCCTGAGGCCACCACCTCCACCAAAAAAACAATGGAGAATCCCATGAATAGAATACAAAAAATTGAGATGTCAAAATGTTAATTTTTTTACAAAATGATAGAATAGAAAAAAATTAAGCTCACATGGAAATAAGTACATGTGAGTTTGTACGTGTGTTCTGGGATGGCTTATTAACTCAATTACTTTATTTTTTTAACGAGAAAGAGAAACAAAATTCGATCGTTGTGGGAGTTGGCTATATGGATTTCAACAATACAAAAAAAATTGCTTTAACTGCAGATCAAAAAGACATGATAATTATTACATGACATGATACAATATACATACATACATATGTACATATATTCCCAGCCATGTGTATCTGCTTGTATGTCGTTACGTACGTGCTGCTACTGCCTGCCACACAGGCAGGCAACCAACCAACAACCCAAAACAATTTGTCCAAATGATTTGTTGAAAATTCGTTGAAAATAAATCTCATATTTTATTTTCAATTAAATGATTGACGGTGTTGTGGCGTTATTGGCGGTTATGGTTCAAAAGTATTCTTGTCATAGCCGAGCAACATGTAACGCTCCACCGGTCATATATTTATTACATATATGGTTCTCCTCCTCCTCATCCACCTTATTTTCCCAGCCGAACTTCACACGAATGTTTTGCTTAATTTAATTTCGTGTAGTTTGGTTGTTGGTAGGGTGTGGAGTGGGTGGCGGTTTATTTTGGGTGAGCCCATAAATTATCTTGGGGACAATTGGTTTGTAACACGTAAAGAATTTGTAACTTTTTTTTTTTTTTTTGGAATTTTGAAAATTCAATTGACACATTCCTCAAACATCAACAAAACGCAACGAGCGGTCCAAGCAGCTGCTTGTGCAACATGTTGTGCCCTAATGGGATTTTAACAAACAATTCAAAGAAAAATACAACAAACATTTTTGAATATTAAAAAGCAATAAATAATTACAAGAGAAATAAATCGATGAATATTAAATAGAATTTGAAAATGTTAAATATTCGAAACATAAAATCAAAGAAAAACATGTTAAAAAGAATGAACACCCATGGGTTTGAAGAGTTCTTCTAAAGATAGTATTTAAAACCTACAAGTATTAGGTTGATCATTTCAAGAAAAAATATTATTTAAAAAATCCACGCCTAAGGTACGGCTATACCTTTAAAAATATTATTTAAAAAATCCACGCCTAAGGTACGGCTATACCTTTAAAAATATTATTTAAAAAATCCACGCCTAAGGTACGGCTATACCTTTAAAAATATTATTTAAAAAATCCACGCCTAAGGTACGGCTATACCTTTAAAAATATTATTTAAAAAATCCACGCCTAAGGTACGGCTATACCTTTAAAAATATTATTTAAAAAATCCACGCCTAAGGTACGGCTATACCTTTAAAAATATTATTTAAAAAATCCACGCCTAAGGTACGGCTATACCTTTAAAAATATTATTTAAAAAATCCACGCCTAAGGTACGGCTATACCTTTAAAAATATTATTTAAAAAATCCACGCCTAAGGTACGGCTATACCTTTAAAAATATTATTTAAAAAATCCACGCCTAAGGTACGGCTATACCTTTAAAAATATTATTTAAAAAATCCACGCCTAAGGTACGGCTATACCTTTAAAAATATTATTTAAAAAATCCACGCCTAAGGTACGGCTATACCTTTAAAAATATTATTTAAAAAATCCACGCCTAAGGTACGGCTATACCTTTAAAAATATTATTTAAAAAATCCACGCCTAAGGTACGGCTATACCTTTAAAAATATTATTTAAAAAATCCACGCCTAAGGTACGGCTATACCTTTAAAAATATTATTTAAAAAATCCACGCCTAAGGTACGGCTATACCTTTAAAAATATTATTTAAAAAATCCACGCCTAAGGTACGGCTATACCTTTAAAAATATTATTTAAAAAATCCACGCCTAAGGTACGGCTATACCTTTAAAAATATTATTTAAAAAATCCACGCCTAAGGTACGGCTATACCTTTAAAAATATTATTTAAAAAATCCACGCCTAAGGTACGGCTATACCTTTAAAAATATTATTTAAAAAATCCACGCCTAAGGTTCGGTTAGACCCTGTAATTTTCTTTAAAAAATCCACGCCTAAGGCTTATAATTTTAAAAATATTTAAAAATCTAGGCCTAAGTTTCGTTTATACCTTTAAAAATATTATTTAAAAAATCCCCGCCTAAAGTACGGTTATAATTTTAAAAATATTTAAAAATCCACGCCTAAGTTTCGGCTATACCTTTAAAAATATTATTTAAAAAATCCACGCCTAAGGTACGGCTATACCTTTAAAAATATTATTTAAAAAATCCACGCCTAAGGTACGGCTATACCTTTAAAAATATTATTTAAAAAATCCACGCCTAAGGTACGGCTATACCTTTAAAAATATTATTTAAAAAATCCACGCCTAAGGTACGGCTATACCTTTAAAAATATTATTTAAAAAATCCACGCCTAAGGTACGGCTATACCTTTAAAAATATTATTTAAAAAATCCACGCCTAAGGTACGGCTATACCTTTAAAAATATTATTTAAAAAATCCACGCCTAAGGTACGGCTATTTAAAAATATAAAAAAATCCACGCCTAAGGTACGGCTATAGCTTTAAAAATATTATTTAAAAAATCCACGCCTAAGGTACGGCTATAGCTTTAAAAATATTATTTAAAAAATCCACGCCTAAGCTACGGCTATAGCTTTAAGAATATTATTTAAAAAATCCAAGCCTTAGGTACGGCTATAGCTTTAAAAATATTATTTAAAAAATCCACGCCTAAGGTACGGCTATAGCTTTAAAAATATTATTTAAAAAATCCACGCCTAAGGTACGGCTATACCTTTAAAAATATTATTTAAAAAATCCACGTCTAAAGCCGTCCTCTCCCATATAGCGGCGGCGTTTTTTAATTTTAACGACGGCTCGACTTATCCGGTTCGTTTGGCGTCTGCGGTATCCCTAATCACCAATTTTGCCTTGCCTCTTTCGTAACAATACGCTTTCATTCACATTTCATTCGTAAATTTTACGTTTTTCACTTTGTGTTCTTTCATTATCGGCTTTTTTTCTTTTCCCTGCCATTTGTAGCGGGTGGAACGCTTTTCATTTTGGTTAGACATTACTCAAAAAAAGCTTTGACACAAGCTCGGACACTTGACAGTTTGACAGGCTATTGAGTCGGTAGAAAATCAACTCGCTGGTTGGGTTGTGTTTCTCTATTTTATTTTTTAAATAAAAAAATAAATATTAATTAATTTACACATCTTGTGTGTATAGAAAGAAAAAACCACAAAACAATGAGCGGTGGAAAACATTTGGCCAAAGGTAGGTCCCGATAGCCGGCAAATGGGGTTTTTATCATTGGAATGTTCCAGCAGCCGGAATTGAATCCAAATCAGATTAGATGCATACACTTACGTTGTTGTTGATGTCGGCAAAAATGCCGACACAATGCGTTCTTGAATTTAAAATAACTTGTTTTTTCTAGTTTTAGTTTCGGTTTGTGTGGTTGTGCAATGACTCATTTATGTATGTACGTATGTTATTCACTTCATTCTAGGTTCTCCAAAACCCGAACTCCCCGATGATGGTAAATTGCGTTTGTACTCGATGCGTTTCTGCCCCTATGCCCACCGCGTTCATTTAGTTTTGGACGCCAAGAAAATTCCCTATCACAGCATTTTCATTAATCTCAACGAGAAACCAGAATGGTTGACTGAATACAGCCCCTTGGGTAAAGTACCCGCACTCCAACTGACCGAGGAAGAGGGTAAACCGGCATTAATAGAATCGCTAGTTATTGCCGAATATTTGGATGAAAAATATCCTGAACCCAAACTCTTTCCAAGTGATCCTTTAAAAAAGGCTCAGGATAAGATTTTGATTGAACGCTTCAATGCTGTGGTTGGACCAATGTATAAAATTTTTGTCAATACTGAAGTGTCGCCGGGCACGATTACTGATGTCAGTACCGGTTTGGATATATACGAAAAGGAATTGCGGGCACGTGGCACTCCGTTCTTTGGTGGCGATAAGCCCGGCATGTTGGACTATATGATTTGGCCATGGTGTGAACGTTCGGCTATGTTGAAATATTTGCTAAGTGATAAATATGAAATGGATAAGGAGCGTTTTGAGAAGTTGGTAGGTGTACAAAAAATCTTTATTATAAATAATATTTAGCCCGGACTGAATGATATTTAAAAGGGCTTTGGGCTCGGATTTTTAAATAACATCTTAAAAGGCATGCTGAAGCTTGGGCGTGGATTTTTTAAATATTTTTAAAGGTCTCGTGGAATTGCGGAATAATATGCGTAGATTTTTATGACTATATTTTTCAAGTCAAAAGAACCTTAGGCGTGCATTTTAAAGGTATAACCGAACCTTAGGCGTGGATTTTTTAGATAATAAAGGTATAGCCGAAACTTAGGCGTGGATTTTTAAATAATATTTGTATAGGTATAAACGAACATTAGGCGAGGGTTTTTGAATAATATTTTTAAAGGTATAACCGAACCTTAGGCGTGGATATTTTAATAATATTTTTAAAGGTATAATCGAACCTTAGGCGTGGATATTTTAATAATATTTTTAAAGGTATAACCGAACCTTTGGCGAGGATTTTTGAATAATGTTTTAATGGGATAACCGAACCTTAGGCTTGGATTTTTTTAAAAATATTTTAAAGGGATAACAGAATCTCAGGCGTGGATATTTTAATAACGTTTTAAAGGTATAACCGAACTTTAGACGTGAATTTTTTTAATAGTGTTTTAAAAGTATAACCGAATCTTAGGCGTCGTTTTTTAGATAATATTTTTAAAGGTATAACCGAACCTTTGGGTGGATATTTTAATAATATTTTTAAAGGTATACCGGATTTTTTTAATAATGTTTATATTTTTTTAGTAAATATTTTTAAAGGAACCTTTGGGGTGGCTGAATAACCGTATTTTAGAGACTATATTTTTAAGCAGTTAAAGGAACCTTAGGCGTGGGTTTCTTCAATAATATTTTTAAAAACTTGAAGGATCATAGACGTGGATTTTAATGTAATATTAAAAAAATAGTCTTTTACTTTTAATCTTTTACTTTTTGTCTTCGATTGGACTTTCTAGGATAACTATTTGGTTTCCTATCTCCTAGACCTTTTCTTCTTCTTACACATTTACTATAACTTAAAAAAAAAACAACTTTTATATTATTACTTAATTTTTTTACAATATGGATTAATTTATTTTTCCTTTTTTCTTCTTTACAGCTCCAATGGCGTGATCTTATGGAAAAAGATGAAGCCGTTAAATGTTTCTATTTGGATGGTGAGACCCATGCTAAATTTATGAAGACTCGTCGTGAAGGAGAACCCAACTATGATATGCTTGTTGTGTAAGGCCTCTTCCAATTTTTTATACAATATACATATTTTCCAATATACCGTATTTAATACTTAACAAGAACCAAAATAACTTAAGCAAAAGAAAAATGTACTTCAAAAGATTGAAACTCTTGCATAACGGGAGTTAACAACAAAATATCCTCCATAGAGATTTAAACGCATATAAACTAAATAAAAGCTTAAAACATTTAGCTTCACACTTAATGATAATTTGTTTTTGAAAAAAAAACAACTCCTCATCACGCATTTCTCATCATATTGTTCTTATAATTTTTCTTCTGTTACAGAAATCCCTGTAAACGGCAACGCACTTGCTAAGCAGCTTATACCAACCAACCTTCCCTGACTCCACTAGTCTCCCCCTCTCTTTTTTTAAGTTTGTTTTTACGTTCCGTTTCTTTTATAATGTTTGCGCTTAACATTATTGGCAGAACATAAATCATCGATTATTTTTTTTTTTCTTATATACATAATTTTTTTGTTTTCCTTTTTTTCACTTATAGATAAGACGATTTTTTATACATATCATTAATATTGGACAAAAGTAAATTGAAATAAAAAGAAAAAAAAAATCAACATTCACTTGCCTATTTTCGTTATCTATTTATCGCAGACACTGATAAAGTGATAAATCATCAAATAATTATTGGATAATTAAAAAATAGTTTTTCAGTTTTCAAAATTCTTCGTAGGACAGAACAAGCAAAAATCTTTCTTAGGGAAAAGAAAGAAAATACAAAACGGTTTGAAACTTGATGCAATCCATTATAAAATATCCCTTTTAATTTAAGTCCGATGGTTGCACACAATTTAAAACCTTTCGGCGTCCAATACAGAGAAGATTTTTAAACAATATTTCTTCAAAGGACGTTTCATAAGTGGATATAAGTAAATTATTCAAGGACCAGAAATATTTTTGGAAAAGCCTTTCCAAAAAAATATTTCTTCAAACAAAATATATTTCTCGTAAAATATTTATTCATTGACCACCTACAAGGGGCTTTCTTTGTAAATGCTTTTCTGTTTTATAAAATCAAAGACCATCATTACATTTGATGATGTTTAAAGTTCTTCTCAAGGATTTCGGCCTTGTAGGAATCTCCAACCTTATACATTTTCTTCTGATGCCAAAATAAAACTTCTCATTAAATTATATATTTAAATATTAGAGAAAAAAGATGAAATTTATTTTTTTGTTGTTTTTGGTTTTTAATTTAAAATCGTGTATAATAATGCATTTTATTCGACAAATCTTTTCCAGCAATAGTAGATGTTTTGTTAAAATTTTTAATTTCGTTTCGTTAAAATTCGTTAAACGATTTTCGTAATTGGTTTTTGTTTGATTAAAATTTGTGTGTGTATGTATGTGTATAATATAATTTAAAAATATAGTTCCCATGCGTCTCGTGTCTAGGCTGGGGATAATGTTGATCTTAAATAACCTGCAATGGATAAACATTGTAATAAAAGTAATTCCAGCACAATTTTTTTTTTCAAACAAACCTGTTGCATTTGTATCATTAATGCCACCGCCAACATTACCTCCACCTCCTGTAACAACAACACTTCCGCCACCACTTGTTGTTGGCGGCGATGATGATGCTGCTGCTGCTGCCGATGATGATGGTGGTGTACATACTACGGAAGTACTATTCGTTAGATTGGAATTTGTGCTGCCACTTATTAAACTTTGAACTCTTTGTTGGGAATTATGTGGTTGCGGTTGTTGTTGTACATTAGAAGCCTGCTTTTTGTTACTGTGATTTGAAGTAGTCGGTTGGTTACTGTAAAGGGAAAAATTGTGTCTATACACATATTTCTATAGGAGATTTTTTCAATTCAATTTGAATACTTCTTTTCTGCATCCTTTTTATTATTGTATATGGCCAATTCAACTTCTGTGTGTTGGGTACTCATATGACGCACCCATTCCTGTGGCGTTTCAAAACGTCTGCAAAAAGATTTATTTTCATTTGTTTAAAATAGTTGGATGTTAACAAATCAGGAGGATACTTACGTATTACAGATATCACATTGAAGACAAACATGTTCCGAGGCATTTTCTTGTTGCTAATGGGGGAGGGAAGAGAAGAAAAATAGAGAAAATTTTTGAGAGAAATAAATAATTTTATCAGATTTAAATATTAAAATCATTTTTGAAAATTGAACCCTTTTTCTCAAATGACATTTTGTTGGTCCGTCCCATTTTTGAAGCTCTTCAAGGCTAACAGAGAAATAATTGTATTGGCAGATAAAAGGTAACAATTACAATCAATCGGGAACTAAACAATAAATTTTTGTAAAATATTAAAGGAAAGAGTAATCCCCATTGTCCATATATTGGCTCCCTTTAACGTATTTTTTTAATTTAATTTCTTTTCCTGCACCTTTTACACAGCAAACAATTATCATCCTAGTGCACTTTGATAAAGGTCTAATCTATCTGATTATTTTATACAACGAATTATCCCTACTTGAATTTATTATAATCTTATCCTGTTCCAAATTTTATATATAGGTCCTCAATCGATCCATCGAAATTAAATCTCCCCCTTTATGTGACTTTATTTTTTTCTTACCGATATTCGACGTCTTTTCTTTGGCACATAGGATGACTTGGTGGATGATGATGCGGCATTCGAAGTTTCACAAACAGCTGGCGGTACACTAAAACTAGAACTAGAAGTTCCGGGTGTTGGTGCTGCATGCGACTCCAGGTGACGCAAAAGGGAAGTTTTATCCTCACAAACTTTCTTACAAATGTCACACGAGAAATATGTATCGAAATCCTTAGCCGATGTATTTTGATTACCACCAATGGAGGTGGTGTTGGTATTGCTAGCTGTAGACATCAATTGGCAAGTCGTTGTATCATTGTTCAGGGAAGAAGTTGTCGTTGACGGTACCGGTGGCTGCTGTGGTTGGATTAGAGTTTCAGTTTTGATTTTCTGAATTTTAAACTCATTATTTTGTGCTGCAGTCTTTTTGTTTGTTAGGTGTAACGACGACGACGATGCGGAATGTAAACCACCATTACCATGATGTATGGCGGAACCAGTTGTTGTTGTCATCCATTCAGAAGGTTCTTCCTTAATCGATACATATTGACCAGTTGGCCCAGCAAGTGTTTCATGTAGTACAACTTGCTTGGAGGTAGATGTTGTTAGGGGTTGTACTGTGGTGGCCACTATCGCTGATGATGTTGTTGAAATTAAATGCTGTTGGGAATATTTAAAATTATCATTCCTAACACCACCACCATTATACTCCACTGGAATTTCTCCAGGCGGCAAATGTATTTCTTGTTCATAAGGTGCCTCATCAACACACTCATTTGCCACATTTGGTGGTATGTAATCGGGACAATTTGTATTGCAAAGTTGTGTGCCATTATTATTATCACCCTGACCATCTCGGGATATAATCATGTGGGTTGGATGCTCAGTCATACGTGTACAATCATTACAACCAATTTCGTTGCAAATGGAAGTTGGAGGTGGTGGTGGTGCTTCATCCCTAAGGGTGGTAACAGCATCCACTGGATAACAACATTTTTCACCCGGATCAATGGCCACATGTTTATTAACACTTATGGGATTTGTGGCCAATTTTCCAATACTAACCGCTGATGGTACCGTTAGGGTATTTATAGGTTTCGTTGATTTCACAATAACGGGACTTGTTTTGGGCAATGTGGAGACACTGAGACCTCTGGAAACCGTTGATGCCTGCTGTTCAACTAAATAGCGTACCGATGTAGGACCATTTGTCAGTGGCATACGTATTAAATTATATGTTGCAGCACCATTCGATGGTGCCGGTTGCATTGGTTCACTATTACGATTTGTAATTTGATTTCCGGTTGTTGGTGTTGTGGTTCGACATAGACCTCGAATTTTTAATATCTCACCACCCTTTAATACTTCACTGAGGATGTCATTGGACACAGTGGCCTCTCCCATATACATATATTGTACCAATATTTGTATGGCACGATGACTTAAATCGGGTGGCAATACAATATGGAAACTGCCATTGCTGTTATTCGATAGAGGCGAGGTTTCAAAGATGCTCGAAAAGAATTGGCTGCATGAACTTAAGATGAATTTGTGGGCTGATATACCAACGGTGGGCATTGAATTGTTCGTTGATATCGTATTGTTCGAGCTGTATAATACAACATCAGCGTATTTTTCATTTCTGTCAAGGGTATATTCATTGTTACATTGTTATTAGAGGGATGAGGTGTTAAATTTAAAACTTACTTGTATAAAGTTGCGACGGAAGAATTCAAATAAGAATGGTGCGAGTCCCATTTAAGGTGGTAATTTTCAGCAGTCATTTTTAATAATAAATTATCATTGGACCTGGAAGAAGAATAGGAGAAAATTTATTATTTATTAAACTATTATAAGATTATTCATGATTCTAAAACACGCCCAATTGACATCACTGCTCTCAGCTGTCATATGTTTGTTGTTGTCTAGGCAATAAATTGTCAGTGTAAACTAAAGAAAAGTGGCAACGCTCTGTACTTGTTTATAAATTTTGTTGTGTACACAGGCGACAGACAGCCAGTTTAGTTTGGTGGACTCCAGTCTCATAATAAAACAAAAAAGAAGGAAAAGAAAACCATTGGAAAATTGCTAATAACTTCAAATCCATTGCAGCAGACGGCATGTCTGTCTTTCGAACAGATATGGAATTTGATCGAAAATTAATTGAGCTAATAAAGGCTAATCCCATGCTGTACGAGAAGGATTTACGTAGTTCACCATACACGGATATGAAAAAGAAATTCGAGTTATGGAGTCATATTGCAACGTCGTTGAACTGTGACAGTGAGTATTGATGAGGTCCACGGCGACCCATGAAAAGTACCCATTGTTAATATTCCTCCACCTCTTCCTCCATTAACACAGCCAAATATTGTCTGCTGCGATGGAAAAGTTTACGCGGAAAATATCGCCGAGAAGTTGCCAAGCTGGGTAAGGAACCAACATGGGAATTATTTGATCAAATGAAATTCATTGATAAACACATTAAATATCAAGGGTAAGAGAAGTTCCACCTCCCCTCCAAATAACGAACTCGGCTAATATTGTTTTATGACCAACAGTACTCAACGCAATCTTAAGAGTCCTGAACACCAAAGTGTTCCCTACAACTGTAATATGGAGGCTGAGCAGTTAATCGAAGAAATCCACGACGAGGATTATGACGATGACCCATTGCAGGAGGCAATGGATGAGCAAATAAGTACATTTGTACCATATAATAACGGCAGAGAACGAATGTTTCCATACCAGCAACAGCAGCAGCAACAACAGCATACAACAATTTTACCCACAAACAACACAACCACCACAACAATTATTTCACCAATGCAAAATAGTGGAACAATGAAACGTATTGAAGCTCTGCTCGAGGGCTTGGGTGAACATAATCGCAGTAAGGCAGAAAAACGTATTGTGGCCTATTTGTGCAAATGTCAGCTGAAAACTTTAAGTAACGAAGATGTAGACGATGTGAATATTTAAAGGGCCGGTTCGTCTCTGGTGGTGAGGTGGACCGGAAGAATTGGATATTGTTTACTAATATTTAGTATATAAGTGTATGGCTTTTCAATTGACGAGATAACGAGAAAATTAATTGAGTGTTAACGAATTCGAATAAAATTTTATGGACAATTTTTTTAAACAGTATTTAATGTAAATTGTGTACCCATAACAGAGAGGGTATATATTTTTTTAATTTAAATACACAATTTGGATCGTTCAAAAACAGATATAAAAACTTTTCATTTGAATATTTCAATTTGCCGGGACTAATATTCCATTTAATATTTTTTCAGTTTATTATTTTATAAAAAAATCAAAGAATGGCTGGTCAATAATTTTTTTTTAATTTGAATATATATTTTTTTGAAATCGCGAAGTCATTAAAAATTATTTTATAAAAAAAATCCAAGAATTTTCAAAAAAAAAATCGAGCTTGCACTGCTTTTTGAAAAAAAAAATCCAAGCTTATACTAATCTTTTACAAAATATCTTTATTTTTACTTCAATATCATGACCTTAGATCGGTAAACTAACGTACTGCATTGATACTTCTTTTAAATCCTAATTCGAAAAAAAAAATCCTCAGAACTTCTTAAAAGAAAAATCCTTAATACTTGAAAAGTCCTTGAAAAAAACCCAAAAGATTGGTCATTGAAAAATATTTAGAATCCAAACTTTGTTCTTTTTAAAAGAAAAATCCCTCCAATGTAGGGTAGCCCATGAAATGACCAAAGATTGGTCATTGAAAAATAGTTGGAATCCAGGCTTCATGTTGTTCTAAAAAAATTAAAAAAAAATCTGCACTTTATATAAGGTCTTTATAAAGTGCAGATTTTTTTTTTTATATCCATCTTTATTAAGGTCCCAAATTGTATATCCTTATAAAAATGTTGTGTTACAAATACAAAGAACTTGAAAACTATATTTACTTAAGCCTTAATTTCTCCACATTTCATTACGAGGGTATTTTCGATACATCATTCCAAAATTGTTTTTTTTTTATTTATAGAAATGGCTGACCCTCTATTTATGGATAATTTTATTATTCAAATTATGATTTGAATATTGATCGATAGATTTATTACATGATAATCCAAACTATATATTGAATAAAATCAATATACAACAACAATGCCCACTCATTTTCATACCTAACTGTTTTACTAACGTCATATGAAATCAAATTAATAAATAGGTTATATCCTTGCATATATTTATTTGATTTCCACTTCTGATATTACTCCCATAAAATATGTCCTGCAAGAAAAAAAACCAAAACTCTCCATTATACCAACACCTATAGGAATGAAACACCCACTCACTTATTAGTCCGTCTTTCAGTATTTCGCAAAAAAAAAACAACATCCTCATATGATATACAAACACACATATGCAGAGAGAATTGTCCACATCCTTGTTAAAGTAAAAACAGAAGCCAACAAAAATCGAGTTATTGCCTTTGTCACAACCGAAAAAAAACAGCAAAACGAAACTCTAAACCCCCGCCACATTGTCCCAACCACAACAACGACGAACTAACGAACCTAATGGGGCGGCAATAGCACCCTTTTAACGTGCGGCAAGGCAAGTCACTTACTCACTCGGTGTACCCACCAAATGCTTGTGGCTCAAGTGCGAGGCATTAACACAAAATTATTGATTGATTTCCACAAAGCACACATACACACACTCTCAAACATTCGTTTATACAGGGCGGTCGTCGGTCATAGACACAGACATACCAAAATAAAAAATCAATAATTTGCTTAATATTCACTTCATTTTTTGTAAAAGTAATTTTTTCAGTTATTTAGCAGAAAATTGGCTCTACACACAACGTAGGTATTTCATTTAAAATAACTTTTACAAATTTTTGTTTTATATCTTGAAGATTTTTTCAAAATTAAGCGCCTTTTCTTAGAAAAAAGCTTCTTTTCTTTCTATCAGCACTTTGGGAGTTTTAACACAAACAGATGTCACCAAACAAAATGGGAGAACAATACTTCTCATTTTTATTATTAACTGTCATTTAACTAAATTACACTTTCTTCCATTGTTTATTTGTCGTTTTTGGGAACTTTCGACACTTTTATTTAGCAAAAAAAAAATATTTATTGTAATTTTTTTGTTAATACCAAAACTTTGCTGTGTTGTACCTACTTTTGCGTGCGTTGGTGCGTGGTGTTGTGTGCTCAAAAGTCAAAGTAAAAATGTTTTGAGAGTCCTTATCGTCGTCGTAGTAGTCCTTGTTGTGTACTGTTTTGTTGGCGCTTTATTTATGCTGCTTCTTACATTTCTTTGTAAATGATGAACCTCTTTTTTTGTTGGTTGGCGTCGTCGTCATCATCATCATCATGGCTTGGAGCTCATCACACAATGGAATTTTGCGCGCCTTCTATTTCTACTTTCCTTTTTCTGGTATGCTCCCTCTCGTGCTCTTTTTTTTGCTAACAAATGTCATTTCACTCTCTGTGCCTGCCACTCTCAGTTAATATAGCGCCCATTTATTGAGCGGCGTACAATTACTCTCACCTCCAATACTTACCGTTACAAAAAATTATTGTGTCTCACAAAAGATGTTGTGTTGTTGTTATATTTGTGTGTGTGGGAGAAATGTTGTTGTGTTCATATTCAGGATTTGGTTTGTTTGTGCTGTTGCTTGCATTTTGTTTGTTGGCCGCTTGTTGTTGCGCTCTTTGGCATTATTGATTTTTTGTTGTCTGATTGTCGGTAAATTGTTGTGCCATGCAACTAAATAAATGGAGATAAGTATTAACTACAATAATGGGGTTTGACGTTTTATCATTTCGTTGGCGGCTTTTATTGATTGGCGCCCCATAAGAGGTAAATTTTTGTATTAATATGCATATTAGTATAGACTTTTTGGGGCTTTTAAATTTATTTTCAGTAAAAGAAAAACGCCTGGAGAAAATCCTAAGCAGTGGCCGGGGTATTTATTTTGGTAAAACTTGTGTAGGGTTTTATAAATTATTTTTTTAGGAGCCCTAAATGTCTAGATATTTAAATAATTATTGGCAATTAAAAAAAAATCGTACTATTTTCGTATTCGATTATTGTCAAATAATAGTTTATTTTTTTATTGCAAAAAAAAATGTTATTTCAACATTTCTAATATGGTATTTATGCATATTTAAAATTTAAGTTCATATCAAACGATAGTTTATAAAACAAACTAAAAAATCCACTAAAAACCTAACCTAACTTTCTTGATCATCGTTAGTTTTGGCAATTTTGGCAGCTGAAACATCTTCATTATTCTCAGACTTTTCATCATCAGCACCGTCTTGATTTTCGTTGGCATCATCAATACTTCGCTTTTCGGCTTTAGATTCTACAGTCTTTTCGGCATTACTTCCTTTCATCGCCGCCGTTTCCATTGCCGTTTGATGCGCCGCTGAAGTATCACATTTTAATAATTCACGTAACATCATTGTGGCATAGGCAGCTGTGGGTAAACAAAAGTCCAATATTAAAGCTTGATATTTATTTTCATTGTCGGCTCCACGTTTTCCCTTGAGATCGTCTAAAGATTTGCCTTTGAATTTTTCAAAATCGGATAGAATTAAAGTATCTTCTGGTGTTGCATACGAACGGAATTCCCATGACATTTCAGTGGGCTTAATCAGAAGTTTACGATATGCACCAGCCATTGAAAAGGTTTTAACATTGTGCTTTAGCTTCTCTGAACTTAAATTGTATTCTGCCAAAGTTTCTTCATACCATTTGGCAATTTCATTATTGGGATATGTGATATCGTGTCCCGGTAAGGGTAATACTACATCATATATGTTATAATTTCCAGAATTTATATCTTCTTCGGTGAGAGGTTTAACTTTACGTTTAAATATGGATTCAGAATTGTCGGTATTTTCAGTCTCAGTTTCTTTGTTTTCTGTTACTTTTTCTTCATTTTCTTTTGACTCTTCAGTTGCGGATTCTTCTTCGGCATCTTCTTCTTGTAAAACTTCGGTAACTTCTATATCCACATCTAAATCATCTTTGTTGCGATATACCAAATCTCCCGGTATGAGTTTAAGGCCAAATTCTTTGATGCGCCGCGAAGCCAACTGATTGAAAATTAAACTTTGGAAGGCATGAGGATATAACAGCAACATATTGCGGGGAATCTGAAACAAAAACTCGATATTTATGTTTGAGATAAACAAATTATTCCATCATAAATTACCTTTCTCAATGCCGTGGCATAATCACTTTCACCATACTGGGCCAAACCATCCAACAGTTTCTTTTCAATAAAACGATCTGTACGGAACATATCCGCCGCGGCCTTCGAATTACGTTCCTTCCACCATGTTTCACGTATATTCTTTAGGAATGGTATATCATGTTCACGTGGTTTCAATATCAATTCACATGCCAATTTATAATCAGCCTGCAGCAACGCTACACCAACTTCATAGGTGGGTACTTCAACTGAATTTCCAAAACGTTGTAGACCAAAATAATTGATGAAACCATTTTCTTTGACGTTCTGAAGAGATTTTTCAATCGCATCCCTGTCGCCAGTTAAATGCCTCAAAGCAATGCGGAAACGATTACCTTTCAATTGTCCCAGTTTCAAAACTTCTTTACAGAATTCGAAATTTCCTATTTTTACACCATTCAAAAATTTAATGGCACCAACAATTTGTCGTGGTGTTCGTTTTTTGATACAGAATTTTTGTGTTGTTTTGGCACGTTTGTCTTTGGTACCACAATAGTTCACCTGGGATGGTCGTAAGCTGAGGAGAAATTTTCAAAATAGTTAGATAACTTTAATTTTAAAATATTTATGCTAAAAGAAAGAACGATCATCCAAGCATGGATTTTTAAAGAATATACGACATACGTCCAGAACCCAAGCTAATGTGATATGATATTTTTAAACTAAAATATGAGCAAATCTAGTCCATATATTTAAAAACCTATATTTCAACTTACTTCAATTTATTGGCCATGGCCACGGCCACTTCACTGGTATCCAAATTCTCTTTGTGTACCAAAAAGTGAACGTATTCCTCGGGGAAAGTCCAACGATTACGATCACGTCCTTTAGGTTTCTGTACACGTATAAATTTCTTATCATCTCCCTTGCCAATTTGGTCACCACCCACAGTGGAGCTAACCAATTTACCCTCATAGAATTTCTTAATTATTTTATGGACATCGGTACGTTTGTCTTTGTCCAATTCAGTAACATCGATATACACGTGGGATTCCTCGGCTGTAGCATTGGGATCATATTTTGCCTCAGCTAAGTTCTTTATTTGTGTCCACACTTCATCGGTGATGACTTCTTTCAATGATTCTTTGGCAGCTTCAGCTTCTTCGGGGCTTAGTGCTGGAAACAATGAATAAGTAAAATTATGCATAAAATTGTTCCTCTGCATTTTGTCATACTCACTTTCTTCTTTGGCTTCTGGAATCTCTAAATTATTTAACTCCAGTACTTTTCCATTCAAATCAATTTCATTGACATGAAAATCAGAGAAACGTGATTTTAAAACACCCGTAAATCCTTCACCTTCGCTAACATATTGAGTTATGCCCACTTGTTCCTCCTTCAGGCTCTCTCTGACTTGGAAGGGTTTCCTGAAACGGAACATAGGATGTCATGTTCCCATCATTTTTTAATATAAACAAATCTTACTTTTCATGTTGGACAAAACCACCATCTCTCCTACCACGACCACCACCACCGCCTCCTCTATTCGAACCACCGTGTCTATTATTGTGATATGGTTTTCTGTTATCTTTGTTGTGGAATGGTCTTCTCTGTTGTTTATTAAATCTTCTATCCATCTGTTTACCCATTTTTATATTTAAAATAAATTATGTCCGTGAACTAAATCTTTAAAAAACGTGTCTCCTAATACCGGTAGAGTTGGGATTAGGGATGGGATAAGTAAATCGACTAATCGTTTAATCGATTTTTGTATTGAAAAGTCTAAAAATCGAAATCGACTTTCGGTCTTTGGAGAAGTCAAGATCTATTAATCGAAATCGGAAAGCAGCTACGCTTCGTAGCGTTTGGCGTGGTTTTATATTTGCCGGGATCGGGATCGGTGTTGAGAGTCTCTCTCTCCCTCAGTGGTAAATTATGAATTGTGTTGGAACACATTACCACAGGTAGGAACAAAAAAGTACGAAACGGTACCTAAAATTCTACTTCAAATGATAATAAATCATAATTATCGAGAAATATTGGCCAATATTTATACCAGTTATTTGCATAAATAATATATGTTATAATTTAAGCGTAAATTTATTCACGAATAATAAAAAAATCTAATTTTTGTTTTGGTACGTTTATGTCAATTCTTACCTTTTGTGAACAAAAAGTACGTTTGTTACAAAATTAAAAATAACGCAACTCTAATTACTCTCTCAAGAGAGAGAAACTCTCAACACCGATCCCGATCCCGACAAATATAAGACCACGCCAAGACTACTGTCTTTGACATCGCTTTCCATTGTAAAATGATAGCACGAACTAGTTCATACCGTTCCATGCAGTGAATTGTTTGTTTGTGAAGAATTAAACAGCATCAGTGTAATTCCGATTTTTTGAGAAAAAATAATTTTTTTTACTATTTTAAAAGAAAATAATCATGGTATACATCCATTTTCCATCCAACTTGACTGAAGAGGAGCATATGCTCCAAGCCAAGTACCAAAAGTTGAAGAAAAAGGTATGTGCTACAGCCAACCATAGTGTGCTTGCTTTTTCATGATTGTCATAACAAATTTTGTTTTGTTTTATTTTTTCTTTCAGAAAAAAGCCCTGCAGCAAATGAAAGCACCGAAACAAGAACCCGAAAAGCCAGCATTGAAACGACCCACAGATGCTCGTGATGCCCGTGAGGTGGCTAGGAAACTTATAAAAAGCGGTGCTATACCGGCCATACAAAAACAACAAACCAAGCAGGATCAAACATCGTTTAAACGACCCAAGGGTCAAGAACGTAAACGACCAGTTCCCGAGTCATCTGTGGCCGCCTATCAACCATTCTCGTCGACACAAAATGACGTGGCCCAAGAAACAATAATAAGTGAAATTATTAAGGAGGAACCACGTATGCAAAATCTGTATCAACATTTTGCCTCCGAACGTGATCGGGAGGAACGTGGTTTGGGTGATAAAAATAGTCCTTTGGATTCGCAGGGCGATAAACCACGGGCGGGTAACACCATTTTTGTTTCGGGTAACAAAGTCACCGAGGAGTTCTTGAAGAAAACATTCAATGATTATGGAACCATTGTCAATGTGTCCATGGAAATTGAAAAGAGGTATGTTAACAGATATGGCACAGCGTTAGCATCCTTATACATTTTCATTTAGTGGATCTTTTTATATGTAAATACCTATACCCAAATAATAAAATTATTTTTTATGACTATTTCATTACAGTCGTGGCTTTGTGACATTTGCCAAACCGGAGTCCGCAGATCGTGCCATTGCCGAAATGCATGGCAAAAATGTTAATGGCATCAATTTGCAGGTGCAATTGGCTCGTCGTCAACCACAAATTGAGCCCATAAATGATGCTTCCTCCTCGGCAGTTTGGTCATCAATTGGTAAGAATTTATTGGGTATCATTACATGAACATTATACTCATTTGTTTTTTTATAATTTTATTTCAGCTGCCAGCAAATCACAAAAGGGTAGTCACAAAGATCGCCGTGAAATGGTTCAATACGATGTTGATTTCTTAAGTTAAGCCAATTCCAGTTAATAAGTCTAGTTGTATAATTAGATGTAAGTACATTCTTTTAATTTTTGTTTAATTTTATTTACAATGCAATTCCATTATATAAACAAGAGTTAAATATATTCACTATAATTTCACAATATTAATTGAAATATGAATTAAACAAGGAATACTATTTTGACATATTTGCATTTAAAGTTAAAGTTCAAAACATTGATCGATAGGTAATATCGACTATCACAACTTAAGAATTTGTAAAGAATAATTTTTCAGCGATTTCAACGAATATCTGGATTTAAGAAATATTTAAGCATGGACTAAAATTTGAATAGGTTAAACATCTATCCTAAGAGTGGATTTTAAAACATATATTTTTTATGATTATCATAAGTGAATTCAAAAAATACAACGAGTGTGGTCATAACGGTACACCCCAATACTTGGTACGTTTGGGCACCTTTTCAAACAATTGCTTTTTAATGGTACCAAATTTCTTTATTTTAGGGGAGTTGGTGTATGTTTTTCAATCAATTGTCTGTCATTTTATATTTTAGCTTCGCACAAACGGCAGTTGTAGATTTTCTCCTAGATGTTGTTGTTGTAGCAGCTAGTACTGCTGTGTATTTTCTATTTTCTTTAATCTGGTTCTGCCTCTAACTCTAAATTCAGAAAGGCTGCGACCTGTATTGATTGAGTCCAAAGAGAAGATGGGGTTAGGTGAGTGGGTTTGGCTGGACAGTTGAACAGATGTTGCGTGTCATGTGGTCCGTTACCACATTCCGGACAGACATTGTCGACCTCTCCATCAATTCGTGCCCAATACGAATTGAGGCGGCTACACCATCCAGATCTCAGTTGTGCCAAGACCACTCTAGATTGTCGAGGTAGCTGCTGCTCTTCTGCAGCTATCAAAGGCGGATGGTCTCCGAGGAAGGTATTCACGCGATATTCTTGAACTGCTTCCTCAACTGCGTCCGTGTGAATACTGTTCAATCCTGCTTGATAGGCCTGTTGATCTAGAGGCTCCCTTTTGTACCTCTGGACCTCTGTCTCCAGATCATGGAGATCCTTCCTGACATGCCTGGCTGGTGGGTGCCCATCCATTAGGTAGCGGTTTGGATGGCTGCTCCTATAACACCCAAGCAGGTATTGCATCGACAACATCTTGGTGTGTTGACGCACAGGAAGGATCTTCGTCTCCTCATACAAGTGGTCCCTGTTGCAGTCCTCAGGGCGGCATTCTGGCTGGATTGAAGATTTTTCCACTGTGTTGCACTCACGTTAGCGGACCACACTGGCGCCACAGACCGGCCTATTGCTTTATAAGTCGTTAACAAGGTTTCGTTGTCAGTTCCGGAGATAACTCTACGGGACTTCGATATATTACGATCCAACGTTTCAAACATGGCCGGAGGGTTGTTCTCTCGATGTCCTCTGACTGTAATTTTATATTTCCAACTTGCATTGGGTAGTAAGTCAACCTCTCAACAATCAATTTTGACCCAAGATTCAGGATAGACCCTTGATAACTGTACCCTTATTTATTTGGTATTTGGGGCTCGTTTTTTAACCGCGTAAATCAATACCCATATTTTTGGTAGTTTTGAAGATTGCAGACATGTGTTTCACCAGTCGCGAGTAATTTTAGGTATGTTTAAGTTCCTAGCTAATTTTCCGATCTGATTATTTTGGTATTTTATTTACAGCTGAAAACAATTTAACATCCATATGAATATTACGATCGATTTTAGGTATTTTTAAATTAAATGGGTTGGGAGCTGTTGTAACCAAGTATCTAAATTATTTTCAGACAACATTTCCATATCTGATATTACTTTATCATATAATGTCTTACATATTTTATCTCATCTCTTAAATATCGCTTAATTGGCACGATTGCTTAAACATTTCATCATGATAACTAAGTTATCATGCCGCGTTAAATTTTTCTACCAATCTCATTTTACCTGATTTATTTTTACCACAAATGAAAACACATTTTCTTTTTTCGAATAATATTGACTTTGGTCTGATTTTTTTTTATTATTAAATAAATTTTCGAATTTGTTTTTAATGCTAACATTTGAAATAACTAAATGTTAAATATGTCCATTTATTATGATGTTTTATTTCCAAAACTTTAACAAATAACAATAATAATAATAGTTATAAGGATAATAATAAATAAATAATTGGTGGTCAATTAAGTAGTTAACAAAAATAAATTAAATAAAATAAAAAAAAATATATTTTCAAAATTAAAACAAATTAAGTAAACAATATACTGCCATTTGTTGCAGATGTTCCATTAAGTACTGTGATAGCAATTTTCAAAACAAAAGTTTATTTTTTTAACAATTATTAGATAATGGCAATTAAGTTTCATTTGTTGCAATAATCGGGGCGAAAAAAAAAACTAAAAACAAACTTCGTTTTACAAATTCTAATATAAAAGTATATGTTGTTGTAGTTCTCTGCAAACAGCAAGAATAGGTTTTATTTTTATTTGGTTCTAGGTAGGTTTTTGCTTGGATCGTTTGATAATTTTGTTTTGGGTATTGTAGAAAAATCTTGTATAAAATGTTTTTTTTTGTCTCTTCCATTTGAAAAAATATATTTATTTTTAATATTTCTCGTTATAATAAATATGTAGTAGTAGTTTACTGATGATGTGTGTATGTATGTTAATATATATGTATGTAGTTGATCTCTCACAGAAAACATATGTATTTGTTTCAGAGTTTGAAGGCCACTCGTTTTTTCGGTTTGCTTCCCGTTTAAATTGAAACAGTTTTTGCTAGTCGTCCTGTAAGTTGCGGTTGTTGTTCTTCTCTCCTTACAAAAAACAATTTGAAATGAAATGCTTAGAGAGCAAATGAATGAAAAATCCTTTAGTTTTCAGGAGGTTTCTGGCATTCCTATGAAGGACGCCCCTCATGTCCTGGTGGATTGAAGTAGTCCCAATGATGTGTGTGCACATTGCGTCCGGTCAACAAGAATATCAAAACACAGAATGTGATGACAATGAAAAGGACCGCCAAGGCGGGTACATGACTACTCCTAACACCGGTGGCATCCTCGACACCCTCTTTGGGTTCCTTGCCTCGTACGTAATCGGTCAGTTGATTGATGATCTTGGCCAGGGATAAACTACAGGCTGTAATAAATTTACGACCGGCTTTGGTAACACTTTGTGGATCTTCGGGGGAGGGGGTGCGAGTACTACGGGTACGTCTACGTCGTGGCGCGGTTTCATCAGAACTCTCCACTGATTTATGAGCTTCATCGCCGGCTGGTGATACTGAACGTCTACGTCTTGTTCGTTCTGTCTGTTCTGCCATATCAGCTTGGGCTCTGTGCAAATTGTAGAAGGCCAATGGAGCCAACTGCTGCAAATATTCAGCTGTGGGGAAAACATTGACTGCTGGTACTGTCGGCGGCACTGTCACACTTGGTGCTGCGGCGGCTGTGTCCACATCGGTTTGTGTCTGTTCATCTGTGTTTCGAACTGTTGTTACTTCACTTTGTTTGGCCTTGGCCTCCAAATCCCTCAGACGTGGAGGTTTAGGTGGTGGCACCACTTCCCTTTGAGGACTGGGTTCGTTGCTGCTATTCTGTTGACTTGTTTGTGTTTCCACGGTCAAATGCTGTGAACGTTCCGTTTGTCTTACTCTTTCCACAATGTCTTCGATAAGGCCGGGTGGCAACTCAATATTTTTGACCACAATATTACCAGATTTACATTCAAGTTCCTCGGAAACAATTTGTTGGCCATGTAATTGAGATACCATGATTTGTCCGGCTTGTAGGGCGTGGACACGCAAGCGTTCCACTTCCAGTTCACTTATGTGGGCTGGGAGGCCAGTACCAGAAGTTGCCAGGGGTTCTTCTGCCTTGGCCACAGTTTGCATAATTGCAACTTCCTTGGTTTCCTCTGCAGGTTCATCTTCGCCCTCATAGCGTGTGTCAATGGCAGTTGTAGATTTCCTTCTAGGTGGTGGCATGGGTGCTGGGGTAGTGGGTGTGTCCACGCGATAACTTGTTGGAGCAGTCGTGGCCAAGGGTGTAAATTCTTTTTCAAAGGGTATTTCTTCCTCCTCCAACTCTTCCTCTGCCAACAACTCCTCAGCTTTTTCGTCTTTTTCTTTATGTTCTTCCATAGATTTTTCTTCCTTTTCACTAATAATCTCCTCTCTCTCCTCCTCCCTTTCAGACAACATTTCCATATCCGATTTCAGTTCTTCCCTTTCAGAGGTAATGTCTTCCATATCCGATCTCATCTCTTCAATATCACTTAGTTGCCATGGTTCCTTGAGCATTTCTTCACGATCACTATGCTCCCATTTCTCTTGTTCAGATGGCTCCTCACGATCACTGTGTTCCCATTTTTCCGAGCGTTCTTCTCTATCACTTTCGCGTATATCTTCCTGCGATGTGGTTTGGGTTTCCATTAGCTGTCTACCGATTTCATCCAATTCATCGCGATATCTCTGTAGGGTGCGTTCCACCTCTTCATCGGTTTGTTGAGTTTCTTGATCCGAAGCCAAGTGGCCCAATGCCTCATCAATATCTGTGGAACTGGGAGCATAACTAGCCTCACTAACCGGTACCTGAAGATCATCTTTGTGTTCCCCAACGCCACTGTGTTGTGATTCGTCGGTAAGCAATCCCTCTCTTCTCAATTCTTCTTCCTCTAATTCCAAGTCATCAATGGGTCGTACAATCAGTGATGCCTCCAACATCGGTTCACCATCCTTATCCTTCATCACAGGTGTCGATGATTGCCTCTCCACCAATATAGCCGAGGGTGTTTGTGGTCTACTTTGGGACTTGGAACGATCCGCCTGCGATGACGCCCTGGATCTTTCCGATAAACTTCTCTGATTCGATTCCCGGAAACGTTGCAAACCTCTAGCCAACTGTTCACTATCAATAACTTGGTGATTGACATTTTGTAGTTCCTTTTCCAATTCCTCCTGCAGCATTTCCTCAATTGTTTTGGGTATTATCCTCGGTTCGATAATTTTCATATCATCGGTTATTTCGAATTCTTCGCATACAAAGTCATCGGGCAGTGGATCAGTTTGTGTTGAGGCTTCAACTTCTTCAAATTGACGTTCGACATTACCATCGGATTCGATGCCATCAACAATATCAACTTCATCGTCACCGGTGTGAGATTTTTGTCCCATCTCGGATCCTTTACTCTGTGAACGATTGCGTTTCTCTCTAGGTGGACGTGGCGGTGGTGGCAATGGACGATATTTCATTTTATTGATAATGTCGCCAGATTGCAGATTACGCGGTGATTCAGGTCTTCCAGGTTCTTCGTAATCGTCATCATCACGATAGCTGAAATTTGGGATTTGTTTCAAGGAGGGGGGTAAGAGCAAGTATAGAAATATTAGTTGTATTATTTTTAATTTATTATCATAGCGGATATCAAATAGGCCAAACGAATAATACCAACTCATGCCAACAATGAACAGTTACTGAAAATAAAAAGGCAAGCCCCTAACTTGGCAAATTTTTAATTGAAAATGTGTAGATATTTAATTTTTTAAGTGAATTAATAATTCACCTTTGATTTTGTTTCCCCGAAAGAAATGTCTGGGTCGAATTCAATGTCTAAATAAGCATTATTGATGGGCGATATTTAGATAGTAGACTTTCGGTAGGCCTTGTATAGACTGACCTCAGCATTTCACAATTTAAACAGATGTAGAAAAGTGTAAATAAAATTTGAGGTTATGTGAAATATTTTTTTCATTGTGTTTTGCCAAAATAATAATAATAAGCTTGCCAAATTAAAATAAATTATACATGCCTCTACAATTACGCCAAAGAAATTATTAATGTTATGCCAAACAAACAAATAAAAATATTGGTTTCAAAATGTGTAAATTATTGTTTTTTTTTATTAATGTCTTTTTAGTTAAGTTATGGAATAGGGTGAGGAATGTTGGTGTAGGATGTGGTGGTAGGATTAGTTATATAAATTAAACTTAAAAATAAAAATAAAATAATTTTAGAGATGTTTGTTTTAGAAATTAAACCAAAAAATATGTATGTATGTTCATCACCATGATGTGTGTTCACCTCTGCTCCTGGGTCACTGTTTGGATTAGATGTATATATCTGGTTGATATGTGTGGTGGAATGTAAGTGGAACATAGTTGGTATGCATTTTTGCAAATAAATTAAATTAACACAATCAAATAATTTACTTTTTTTAGTTTAAGGTTAGAACAATGAATCAAAACTTTGCCAAAAACAATAACAAAAGAAGAAAGGAAAGTAAACAAAACGATTAACAACACGAACAGCAAAACAATTTTAGCTTTTGAGCATTTTTTCTACGCCTTGCATTTCTTACTTGGGACGAGCATCTAAACTAAGGGCTGACTTGCGTATCGTTGGCATAACTACATCTGATACTGGGGTATATCCACGTGGTGGTGGTGGCCTATCGGGTGGTGGTGTACTGCGTTTGGTTCTCATATTGGGCATGGTGGCAAAACGATCACCGGGTAAATGGGCGAAACGTTTACGTCTTGCCGGTGGCGTGGGCTTTGGTAGTTGTTCCTTGCGTACAACGGCGTAACTAAATGGGGGGTAGACAGTGGACAGTGAACCTATTTGTGTTTTATTGGAGGCGATCTGCACTTACCCATCATTTTCCAACATTTCAATAACATATTTATCGGTGACATCAATTGCCTCATCATTTTGATGGTCCAGGGATATGGCACCCCTTGATCCCTGGTCATCTAAATCGTAATGTGATGTAGACTTATTTGCTGACAATGAATCCGAGTATTTGTCGGGAGTTGCAATTGGTACATGATGATATTCATGTTCAGTGCGATAAACGATTACCTGGAAGGGAAGGGAAAGAGATTAAAGGAGGTATCCTATCTACCGAAGAGCAGCTAGGCTAAATAGTAGATCTCTCATACAAATTCGTGTTCAATCAGTTTGAATAGTAAATTTCATTTAAAATTTATATTCAGCCAGGCTGAATTGGAAATTTACTTTTCAAACTGATTGAACACGAATTTGAATGAGAGGTCTACTACTATAGCCTGGCTGAATATAACATGCTTTAAGAAATTTGCTATTATTTATTATTCAGTCTGGCAGAATATTAATTTCTGTAAGAAATTCATTATTTAGCAAGGATGAATACAAATTTCTAAAATAAAATTTACTATTCAGTCTGGCATAATATTAATTTCTGTAAGAATTTTTGTTAAAAATATTATTTGTTCAGGCTGAATATAGATTTAATTTACTATTCAGCCTAGCTGAATATAGATTCCTGTAAGAAATTTACCATTCAGCCCGGCTGAATAGAGAATTCTTTAAAAAATTACCATTCAGCCTCCGTGAATATACGTTTCAGTTTTCAGTTCAGTCTCGTTAACATATATTTAATTTGGTAATTTAATATTAAGCCTAGCTGAATACGAATTTATAATACTTTTTTGATCAAATACTTACATCTTCGGTTGGCTGCAAATAACTATTCGACACCGAGCGTCCTCCAAAACCATTTATATAGGAATCTTTATCCATAGATGTATCACGACGTCGCTTCTGACGTCTCGGCGGTTGTGGCCTTGAAATATCATCGTTCTCATCCTCCAATCGATGTTCATGTCGTACGGGAATATTTTCCTTACCCGTAACCGTCATATTCAAATCATTCCACACGCCACTGACATTTTCATGTGACGGCTCACGCAAATATTCTTCATCCATGTAGCGGACATCTTGACTGTCCATGGAATATTTACTGCGACTGCGTGACTTACGCATTGGCCTTCGTGGGGGTTGTCCACCACTGCCACTGAAATAATCACTTCCATTTTGTGACACCGAAAAGTTATCACCATAGGAACCAAATTCTTGAGAATCATTTTGTTGGGGCTGATAGATTTTATGCAGCCTCCTGGGTTTGGGCGGTGGCACGTCGTAGTCTCCATAATCCCGCGTCTGGCCCACATGTTGTAGGCTATTGATCGGTTTATCATACTCCTCACCCTGACGGAACGCATTACGGATGTATTGATTGATTTCGATGTTGTCCTGGGATATACCGCGTTTACGCAAGAAGAATTCATCTTCACCGATCTCTTCGAGGACCACCTTCTTTCCTGAGCTAGCTGTCGATTGGGTATCATGTCGGGCGGCATCATCATATTTATGATAGCTAGCCTCTGCTTCAATTTCAGCCTTACGTAGTAAAATATTCTTTTGGATTTCCTTCTCCGTCCATCCCACAGCATCCTCTTCGGAACGAACATCAGAGTCTTGATGAACAATGGGACGACGTTTAAATTCACGGGAACGGAGATTGGAAATTTCATGAATGGCACGATTTTCTTCATCGAATTCGGCGAACTCCTTGTTGTCGGTTACCCCAGCCAAAATACCCATGCCACCAGTCTCGTGGGGCTCCTCACTCACAGTATCTTCCAGATCCTCACGCATACGTCGCTCTAGGGATGATTCTCTGTCAAAACTTTCCAATTCACTGCCATAACGTCTATAACGTGAACCTTCACTGTCATTGAAACTGACATCGGAGAATTTATCTGCCCAACGGGATCTTACAGGTCCTGGGCCACGATCACCCTGTGGTGAACTTGAAGATTCCACCGAAGGTTGGGTTGTGGTACTGGGTATAACACTTGTGGCCTCAGTGGCGGTGCCTGTGTCGAATGAAGATTCCGGTTCAATGGGTTTCTTTTTCTTACGCAAGACCCTTGGATAGGTACCAAAATTGAAATCAAATAATTTCTTCTGGGGCGAGGTAGTGGCCTCAGTTGTACCCTTTTTGGTGGGCACATCCAAGGACATATCCTCATCGGTGATTGTAGTCTCGGTTTCCTTAAACGATTTACTACGTCCCAACTTTATGCCAGACATTTCAGGCAATTTAAATTTACTCATGTCGGGTTTAGAGAACTTCGTAAATTCTGGCCTCTTGAAATCCTTGAACTTGGACATATCCGGTCGTTTTATGTCAGGCATTTTCATTTTCGAAAATTCTGGTGCCTTGAACTTCCTGCGCTCCTTGGCCTTGGGACTGCTTGAGGGAGATTTTTTGGGAGTGGCCTTAAATTTAGTTCTCAGCTTGCCCGCTTGGGTTTTCAAGCCCATTTGCATTTTCCTGCCACGATCTTGAGCCGAAGCCATAAAACTTTTCATGCCACTCTTCGTCTGACCTGTTTCTTCTTCTGCAGCTGCTTCATCTGGGATGGGTTCTTCATCTGCTTCCACATTTAGTTCGGTTTGGGGTGTGGGTTTACCATCAGCGGGTTTAAAGAATTGCTCCTCAATTTCGCGTTGATAATCTTCAGCGGTTTTAATGGGTTCACCCTGTTCGCCGCTTGCCATTTGAGATTCACTTGGATGTTGATCCTTAACTTCGGAAGATGGTTTATCTTCTGAGGAAGGCATTCCAATAGGTTCATATTCATGATCGCTGTATAGGGAGAGAGAGATTATTGTTAGATATAAATAAAGATAATAAGGGATGGAGGTGGAACATTTAAATGTTTAGTAGACAAACGTGCACAGTGGGTAGGAATGGAGTGAATGGAGCGGGTTGGCATTTGTGAGAAATGTGATGCATGGAATTGAAAACAAAAATCAGAACATGTGAGGGGTATTCTGATTAAAGAGGGAGGTAGGAGGAGGTCTTCTGTCTACAGAAGATCGATATATGCTATAAAGTCAACTATTTAGCTGAACTTTTTAATGAATTTTATTGAGATGTTGTTCAGCTAATTTATTTTATACATCGACAATTTAGCTTAGCCGAATATAATATATTTTAATGGAAACAACAAATCAGCCATGCTGAATATGAATTTTTATATACAATCATATTCAGCTTAGCTGTATATAGATGTCTTTAATGGATGTGGTTTTAAATAGGACGGGGATACAAGACAGACACGATTAGATGATAGTCTAACAATTCTCCTCTCAATACTCCACAGCCCTGTTAAGAATCATTTGAAAAATTAACTCTTCGGAATACTTTGATTTGTCTTACCGCCCATGATAAACCTTATCTCTATTATCGGCTCTTCCCATCGCCATCATCGTCGGTTTACGATTTTCAAATTCACTTAAACGCGATTTACGCTCGTCAAAATGAAAACTAACGGTTTTGGTCATACGCGACGATGCCAAATAATCCTGCGAGTCAGTCAACGGCTGACGATCTTGTGATTGGGTTCGACCATCTAAAAATTTTTGTTTGGTCTGTTGTTGCAATGGCCTCTGTTCGGATGGCGATCGTAGGCCATGCATATGTCGACTACGATCCGGTGAAACACTGTGCGGCAGACTACCGCTACTCTCCATCATAATGGGTGCCGAGAAGAGAGGTTTTCCCTGTAGTTCGGGATGATGATGTATCGAAGGCTCTCGGCTACCCCAGCTGCTTTGAATGTCACTGGGCTGGCGTCGTATTGAGGCTTCACGGCTACCCCAAGGACGCATATTTAGCCCACGATCTTGACTAGAAAAATCCGCGCTCGCCATGTGCTGCCGTTGTTGATCTATGGAAAATTGTGAGCTGGAGGAGCGGCGGCCTATAATCACCGGAGCAAAGGCTTCTTGAATATCCATAGTGGAGACATGCTCGGGTTCGTGATAATCATCCCTACTATTAATGGATTTCGGTACGGAGGGAGATTTGCTAAGAGTTTGTGAGGATGGTGCAGCGGCTGCTGGTGGTGGTGCAGGTGGTTTGGCCGGCTTACTCATGTATTGATCCATTTCATCTACCTTCAGGGAAAATGTCTCATGGATTTTTATTGACATGGGTTCTGCCTCTGGCTTCTTGGTGATCATGCCAGCATTATTACCCTCAACAATTGCAGAGGCCACCGGCATGGGTTTGGCACTTGAAAATATTGACATTTTCTTGGGTTTCTCTGCCGGCATGGGAGAGGGTGATTTTTCTTTCGTTTTACCATTTTTCGCAAAAATATTTGGCATCCTAAAGGCTGATGGTGCAGGAGAGGGGGATTTTTCTCTTTCTCCCCCATTTGTTCTACCTTTGGATAAAAAGGAAGGCATACGCAGAATTGAAGGAGCCGGCGAGGGCGACCTTTCTCTGCCAGCAGCTGTTGGTTCGGGTAATCCATTACCTTCTTCTTTCGATTTGGGTGTGAATAGAGATTTAAACCGCGAGGAATAAGTTGATTTGTTGGAATCTTCCGGTAGTTGTTGTAAATCCTGTTCCGAGGCAATTTTCTTTACATTGCTGGCTGGGGTTTGGCCGCGATCGGGCGAGTGGCCCCTTTTAAGTTGTTGTTGTGGTAATTGTAGGCTATCCATTTGTCGTGAAGGTGATAATTGTTCCCTTTGTCGGCTGGGAGAAAAGCGATCCATGGTGGAGCTCGGTAATTGTCGTGATGGTGAAAAACGTTCACTTTGCATCTCGCGAGAGGGAGAGAAACCCCTACCTTGAAGTTCTCTGGCGGGAGAGAAACCCCTATCTTGAAGTTCTCTGGCGGGAGAGAAACCTCTACCTTGAAGTTCTCTGGAGGGAGAAAATCTATCTTCCTGTCTTGCTGGAGAAAATCTTTCCATTTGCCTTGAGGGAGAAGAGAAACGTTGCATAGATCTTGTGGGCGATTTGGACTTGGCCCTTTCCCTAGCCTTTTGCTCTTCTTCCTGTATCAACTTATCAATATCCACCACATTTATTTGTCGTTTAATATCAATTACAGTTTCTTCGTCCAGATGCAGTGAGGGTCTGGGTATATCCTCCACCAAGGGCGGACTGAGACGTTTAATTTTAATATCATCCTTGACTTGTTCAATGGGTTGGGTGGCCGCTATGGCTTCCAATTCGGCTACAGTTTCTTGCAATGGATCATGGGGCTTTTGTGCAGGAGGGGAGGTCATAGCCATCATGGATTGATACTGCAACTGTGGTGTTTGTTGTTGTTGCTGCTGAACAATTGTGGAATTCTCCTCGGATGTTTTATATTTCGAAACATCAATGGGCCGATTTTGTGGCCTTACCTCTCCTGGTAAATTACTGGCAAATCCGCGATTCTCTTTATTATCCTCAGGACGCATATAATCCACGGAAATGGGTCTTTTGGCAATGCGATAATCAATATCTCCTGTCTCCATGGCTCCCGGAGGTGGTGAGGGTGATCGAAGAGGTGTGAAGTGGCGCTGCATATTGCCACCGGGAGACTGGTCAACTATTTGTGGTATAAATTTCCTTTGGAAATTGGGTGCCTGATCTCCCGACTGTGGCAAAGGTGTGGGTTGTATCACATTTATATGTGGAGGCATACTGTGATAAAGATCCATATTGGAGGAACGGCGACTGGCGGATACCGAACGTTGTTCCCTCCTTCTTGGCTGCTCAATATTTATGTCTGCCACAAATAAATCACCCTTGGAGGGTGATCGTGAAATCCTCCTGAGCGAACGGACGCTATGCATGGACATTGTGTCTGGATCACGTTGGGCGCCACCACCACTAACATTTGACATACGATCCACTGAGGTAAAACGTTGGCGACTACGTGACATCTGTTGGTGGGGATCATCGTCGGAAATACTACGCACCACCAGACCACGTTTCTTGGCCGTGTCCTCCAATTCTGGATATTTTTCTACAAAGGAAATATCCACCGAGGCGGAGGCTTGATCCCAGGAACGATGTTTACCAATGCTACGCATGGATGTTCGTTCCGGATCTGGTTGCGTTATACGATCACCGGCCAAAAGTCTACGATCACCGCTAATACTGGGCATGGCCAAAGGGGGTGGCCTTGGTGAAGACGCTGCAGTACGTAGTGCTTCATCATAGGCGTATTCCGTACACTGAGGATCGTGTTGAAAATCTAGGCGAGAATTGGGTCGGGAATCGACAGGATTAATGCGTTCCGGTAGCAGAGAATCACTTTGAAAAAATTGACAGGCACAGCGGACATCAAGAGTTACGCCACCTGTACTTTCATTGCGCGATACGAAATGTTTTTTCTCTTGGGGTAAAGCTCCCACGGAGGCTGAACGTCGTGCGCTCATTTTGAAAGGAGAGTGTTTTTTAAACTCAGCAATAAATTAAATGAGATAAAGAGATGGAGAGCTGCTTTGAATTGTAAAGAGTATCGATAAGAGAGAGATTGGAAGTAATTCCTCAGAGCTTTTCCCACAAAGCTTTTGCTGACACCAAACTTGCTTTCGTTGATGGCCTACACATTTCGAAAATACGCACACACCAGGCAAAATGTCAATGTTGCTGACAACGTCTGCGGCTACGAATTTGCACAGAACAGAAAAAAAATTGTCGTCGTTTTAGCTTGGCTGACTGACTGGTTGACTATAGCTCGTTCGTTCTTTTCTTTTTCTTATTTATTTTTGTTTTTCAATTTTTGTTTCGTCTTGTTGAGGCTATTTTTAATATCTACACTTGCTTCGAGGTGAACATAGAATTTATTTTTGTATTTTTCTCTTTTTTTCTATTTAAAAATATAAAATTTTTTTCTAGTAATTTTGTAATAATTTTCTTTTATTTTTTTTCTATTTTAAACAAAATTAATTCATATTTTATACAACTAACACACACAACTGATTTTTTTTTATTTTTGGAAAAAATATATTCGAATTTTTCGTAAACGTCTCTTTTTTTGAATTTAGAAACTTAAATTATCGTTCTAATTATTTTGCCGACCGACAACGGCGTTCTATTATCCCCATCTTAATGGTTGCAAATTTCGGCCAGGACTGAATGAAAGCTTTTCAATGGCCGTTTTTCCGAAAAAACAAATTAGCAAAAGTACTCGTAATGTTTTTTTTTTATGTTTTCTCCTACAGTCATACGTTTTTCTTTTTCATCGCTCTGTTGTGGTCATTTTTCTTGTGGTTCTTTTTTGATCTTTTTTGTCTCATAGTTTCATAAAGATGAACACACAAATATTATGTGTACGTTTTTTTTTCTAGTAGCTAAAGGCTTCTTGGGATCGTGATCTACAAATAAGGGTTGCCAAATATTTTAAATTGAGAAAAAAAAAATTATGAGTAATACTCGAGAAACAAAATACTGTCAGACCGACGGAATTGTTTTTAAAATAAATATTTCTTTATAGAAAAAGAAAAATCTTTTCTCTGTAACTTTCTTCTGGAGTTGTATTCTTCGTTCTAAACCTCAGAGTTAACAGAGAATCGCAAAGATTTTTGTCAAATTCGTCAAGTTTAATATTAACAGAGACGGATTTAATATAATCGAAAATTCGAAAAAAAATTCTATTTTGCTCAGCTGACTATCCGATTAACTGACAAAGTGCATCGTTTCTACCATGGCACAATAAATAGGTAGTCCATCTAGCGCAGCTGATTTCTCGATTAACTGTCAAAGTGCGTAATTTCTACTTGAATTCGATGTACAATATTGCAAACCATGTGAAATAGTATAAGGAAAAATTTGACAGATGGTCGAGACCATGGCACAATGAATAGGTAGTCCCATGATGCAATAATAAGGTGATGTATCATAACAAAAACCTTTGTTTTTGTCTCGATCTTCTGTCAAATGTTTCCATATAATATTTCACTTTGACAGTTAATCGAGACATCAGCTGAGCTACATGGACTACCTATTTATTGTGCCATGGGTAGTCCATTTAGCGCAGCAGATGTCTTGATTAACTGTCAAATTGGATAATTTCTACTTGAATTCGATGTGCAGTGTTGCCAACCATGTTAGATATTATATGGAAAAATTTGACTGATAATCGGGACAAAGACAAAGGTTTTTGTTTTGATACATCAACTTATTATTGCATCATGGGTAGTTCATTTAGAGCAGCTGATGTCTTGGTTAACTGTCAAAGTGTGTAATTTCTACTTGAATTCGATGTGCAATGTTGCCAAACATGTGAAATATTATAAGGAAAAATTTTACAGATGACCGAGACAAAAACAAAGGTTGTTGTTGACCTGAGCCAGGAAGGAGAGAAGTTAATAAGGAAAAAAGTTTTTGTTTTGATACATCACCTTATTGTTGCATAATGGTTTCTACTCGAATTCGACTTGCAATGTTGCCAACCTTGAAATATATTACTGCATAAAATTTGACAGATGGTCCAATACAAAATATATGTTTTAAAGAATTATTGTTTGGTGTATGTCACTACCCACATTATTTAGGGATATAAATCAATAAACAAATCTCACAGTCGTTAAATAGTAGTTGGAAGTTATCAGCCAAGTGTTTTTTAGAATTCTATCCATACCCTCAACAAGTATTGAAATATCCCTAGGTCCATTGTTTTTTTAAATATCCTAATTTTACTTTTTAATATTTAATCATAAAAATGGCAACACTGCATATCCGCAAATCCATTCATTAATTTTTAGTTTGTCTCACAAAATACTTGAAGAGCATATTGAGCACAAACGAAACTGACATAGATCGACACCACCCGGTCGGTAAAAACAATTTAAATACAATTTATTTTTTCTTTTGTACGTCCACTATTTTCCTAGTTTTGCTTTGAAATATTATTGCTATTTTTTCTAGTTTTGGGTGCGAGATTTTTCTTTTTTTGCATCGATGCCAAGTGGTTGGGGATATCTCATCAACAAGATTAATATGAAATTAGGTTAGACAAAAGCAGGACAGTGGTTTGAAAAGTTAATGGATTTTTCACTCAGACTGAATGAATTTTTTTCTGAAGGAAAAACCTCAGATACTGAGGAAAATTTGTTTTTGATATAGAACAAAAACCTTCATAAAGGAAATAGATTTTTATATAAAATAATCTTCAGTAACTGATGAAAGATTTTTTGTATAAAAAATTCTTATATTAATGGAAACTGATTTATATATAGAAGAAATCTTCAGTTTTTGAGTAGAGAGTATTTCCTCAAAAAGGGGAACAATTTCATTTCTACTGAAAAAAATCCTCAGACTAAGGAGAATTTGTTTCCTCAAACACCATAGACAGTATTTTTTGTATGAGGATTTATTTGACATATGTGCAAAGGAATTCACAATTGAAACCCACTGGGTTAACGAAATCCGGTTAAATGTAAACGTAATATAAGAGTAAATTTAAGGAAAACATTTTTAGACAATGAGAAGAGATTACAAAAAAAGGACTGATGACAATTTGAGGACAGATTTCCCGTAAAGAAACCACAAGACATCTTTAATCTATAAAAATGAATTCCTCAGACACTGAGACATATTTGTTTACCTATAAAGCTAGGCTTTAAAATTATCCTCGTTTTCTAAGGAATTTCAAAAATACAGAAATCCTGAGGACAAAAGGGCTTTTTAAACATTTCGAAAAGATTCTCGGGTTCTGAAAAAATTTATTATCCTATATGCTTGTTTTTCTATAGGAATTTATCCTTGGGGCCTGAGGTTTTTGTTGAAGTTATTGAATTCGCACGTTACGAATGTTACAACACACAACCCAGAGTAACTGCGCAGAGATCACAGAGTGTGAACCACACACTTTAGACGGTATCATTCTTAGTGTTAAGCATACCTAAGTAGATGTAAGATGTAAATAAAATCACTCTGTAAATAGCAACCAAACGAGCAACAAATCTTTCATTTGAAGAGAAGAACAAAATGCTTAGGGCCTGAGAACGATTTTAATTCCTCAATTTGAAAAATATCATCAGAATCTTGTTTTTTAAAATGCTCAATATCACTTCCCTGAGCCTTGGCTGAGTTGTTCAAATTAAGAATTTTCGGTTCCTCTACCGGCAACGGAGTCACCTTATCATGCCCAGTTGGAGATGTTTAATATTTAAACATTTCTTTTGACGATCCGCTATACTCTTCAACTTCTTCATGAAGGGAAACAACGAGGACCCTTAGGATGTTCGTCAATGGATATCTTCGTGGCCGTGTGGATGAAGAGAAGTTTGAGTTGATGACTCAGTTGCTGAGTGGGGAAACAATTCGTTGCAAACTTCTGACTCTGAATCGGACAGTCTTTGATGTTATGGAAATTATTCCTTACGGTCTTAGAATTAAAACATCAGGTTTTTTATTGTTTCTAAGAAAAACATTGACCTGTTGTTTTATTTCAATCATTTCAAATTTTCCTTTTGTTTCAGACCAGGAGAATAATTTTTTTCTATGAACAATTCTCTTTTTTCTAAGTCCACTGTTTTCAAAAATTAATATATTGTAGTTGCTTGACAATCGGTCAGAGGTGCCAAGAAAATATGTGTTAAGTTGTTGTTTTTTGGTTATGTAGCGGCTGCTAACACCCGCATTTTGAGATACTGCTCAACCAATTGGCAAATGCAGTAGCATCCCAAGACGAATACAACAACAGCATCAACAAATAATGAAGACAACAAATAATTTCCTTAAGACTAAAACACAAATCTGGTGATTGATGTCGTTTTTTTCTTTTTTTGCAATTTTCGACGTTGTGGGAGAGACATAGACAAATGACAACAATACAAAAATGACACACACATAGAAACCCAGAATTATTTAGAGGACGGACAAACAAACCCATAAACCCACAATTTTTTCCTTTTTGTACCCAGCTACTTAGCTTACCTTTGTGATATTCATGTTACGCCTAACAAATGTCAGAACATTATTGGAATTTTGTTGGTGGGAAAGGATCAAGCAGGTCTCATGCAACATAGGCCCACACGTACATACCAACGTTGGGCGCTACGTTTACGGCGTGGCGTTTTATGACTGCGAAAGTCCAGGGTTAGTAACAATTTGAAGAGGCTAATGAAGAGTGAGTATTTTCTGTTGAAAGGTGAGAGGTCCAAGGTGTTAGGAGGGATCAAATAATAGCAAAATAAAAAAAAAAAATAGAGAGGCGGGAAAAATGGATTGGTTAGTAGGGAAAAAGTATTAGGGATTAAGGGCTAATTTTTGTTAACATTAAATTGAAACCAAAATTAAACAACATTTATTGTTGTCATAAAATTTAACCCTTGGTCTACATACTTGACAGTTGCCTTTAATTTATTGGCCTCCTTGGCGGCTTCCATTTGTTCAGCAGGCAATTCAATGTCTTCGCGATGTGGCTCAGCTTCATCTTCGACATGTGAAAAGGTAACTACCTTCTTTTCCGAAGGTGCTGGTGAGGCTTCTTTTTTCATTGAGACTCGGCTTTCGCTATTTTCAGCAGCAGTTTCCACTTTCAAATGACTAGCTTCGACAGGTTTCTCATCTACGGCAGCTGGTTTCTCCTCTTCTTCCTCATCCTGTTCTTCTTCGGTAACCGGTTGCAATTGTGGTCGATTACAAACTTCATCGGACGAAGCAGAATCTATGGAAGAAATCGGTGCCAATAGAGTATTCGATTTACGTTCGGGTGTGGCACGCTCAGTTAAACCCATAACTTCCTCTTCACTGCTACCCATGCGATCAAGAGGGATGGCATTTTTATTGGCAGCCACTTCTTTCACAGCACTGCTATCCTGAGTGGCCAGAGATTGTTTGAGGGCATCCACTGAGGTGGCATCCAAAATGAATTTCAACTCTTCAGCAGCAGGCATGCCAGCATCTTCAGGTTGATCAATTTCCTCATAGACATGTTCGCGACGCAAACGTGGCGCCTTTTTGGGTGGTGTGGATCCTTGATCCTCCTCCTGCTCAACCTTCTTGGCATCGACTTCTTCATTTTCCGCAGGAGCCGAGGTGACATCTTTAATTTCAATGATTTCCTCCGGTTCCACAATGCTGCTACTTGGGTTCTCATCATCGGCCTCACCTTGTCTTCCCAAACGTTTGCGACTTGGTGATTCATCCAATTCCTCAATTTCCAAAATATCATCCGAATCTTGTTTTTCGAAATGGGCAATATCACTTCTTTGGGCCTTGGGTGAGTTTTTCAAATTGAGAATTTTCGGTTCCTTCCCAGGCGTGGGAGCGACCTTATCATCCTTGCCCAAATGCAGACGTTTAATATTTAAACGCTTCTTTTGGCGATCCGCCATACTCTTCAACTTCTTCATGATGGGGAAACAACGAGGACCCTTAGGGTGTTCGTAAATGGGATGGACTTCTTCGTGGCCGTGTGGAGGAGGGGATGTTTGAGTTGCTGCCTCAGTTGCTGAGTGGGGAACTTGTTCCAAACTTCGTTGCAAACTACCGGCTGAAGTAAATGAATCGGGCAGTGATTGAGCGTCTTCGTTGCTACGAGTACCGTAACGACGACGCCGGAAGAGACGTCGTACTTTACTGAAGCGATTTGCAGCCTTTGACTTGGCTGTGGCTAAAACCGAATCGGATACGCAGGAGAAACTTTCACTATGCAAGCTATGGTTTTCGTGGTCTCCGTCTCGTGGTAAATGATGTTCCGAATGATGGCCTTCTTCTTCTTCCTCTTCTTCGGATAATTCCTGCAGATATGGATGGGTTTCTTGAACCAAAACCTGATCGTCAATGCGTACCTTTTTATTTGATTTAGGTGATTCCGATAAGAAACGAATCTCTTGAGATTTTCTGAGCATCAACACAATTTCGGGTTCTTCATCGGGACCCAGGGGGCGTTTATACAGATGGGTCCATGGATAACCACCCTGGAAGGGAAAAGAAAATTGATAAGTTATTATTGAGGACACTCTGAATAGATGAGAAATTTCCTTCTATAGAAAAACCTCTGTAGATGAGGATTCTATCATTGGGAACAAATTTGACCTAACCAATAAATTAGGACAATTTGTTTTTTTAATTTTCTATAAAAAATATGTATTTTTTTATCGAAAACATATCCTCAGGAACTGCAGTGATCTGTTATTTATGGACAAAAAATATTTTTATATGCAGCTGCAGATTTTTTATTATATGAAAATTCTGTCCTCAGTTATTGAGGATGTTTACATAGAAAATGGCCTTCAATGACTAACTATCCTCAGCAGTACGGTAGAAATTTTTTCTTTAAAAAATAATTTTCTATAAAAATATTGTTCTATAAAAAACCTGTCCTTGTTTATATCCTATAAAAATTTCCCTCAGTAACTGCAGGAAAAATCTGTCTTGTGCATATATAGTCTGTAGAAAAGTAGCTGCCCTCAGAAGCTGATTCTTTATCCCTATGTGAATTCGATCCTCATTAGATGGGGAATTTTCTTTTCTCGAAAAAGAAATCTGTCCCCAATCTCTTCCTACCAACTGAGAGGTTCGTGGCCTTTTTACTTACTCTTTCTCTGGCTCTTCTCAAATCCTCCCAACGATAGGTTTGTAACGGTACAGGGGGCCTATCCGTGGCGGTTTGGATCAAGTACTTCTTCAGCGATTGATAATATTCCTTTTTACAATCTAAGGCTAATTTTTCGGCATCACTTGTTTCAGAGCCTTGCAGAGGTGGCAGAGAGTCAATGAAAAGTTTACGTTCAGCTTCTTCAGAAGCGGTTTGGGGCGTGGGCACCGTTACCAACTTCAAATGTTGTTCTGTGGGAGGTTTCAGACACGAAGCGGCTTCTTTCGTTTGCGAATCTAAAATGCTAGTGACTTCGGAAATTTGTTGATCAACAACCTGTGACAGCTGAGACTCGGTACGCAATTGGGCTCCGTCCACTTGATCTTCCTCTTCGTCGTTGCAATTTTGGGCAGTCTCAGTTTCCTCCGTGGTTGTATGTGTTTCGGAAAGTTCTTCTGATTTATTTACTTCCTTGACTAGGGGTTCGTCGGAACTAATTTCCTTTTCTTCTCCTTTTTCTTTTTCTTCTATGTCAAAGTTATCAGTCTTTTCATTGGAATTTTCCTCGATCTGTTGTTGGAAATTATTTTCCTTAAAAGCCTTTACCACTTCCTCTTCAATGTCCTGCAAAAGTTTTTCAGCTACTTCTTCAATTTCTGATTTATTGACATGACCAGCGGAATCACCATTGAGATAGGGTGTTACGGTTTCCTCAATTTGAGCAGCCTGTAGTAGGGCTTTAGTTTCCAAGATCTGTTCCACTGGTTGTTTCGTTACTACCTCAGCCGGTTCAACTTCTATGACAGAGCGTACATTTTCTTCCGTTTCAATTTTTGAGGTTCCTACTTTCAGTTCTTCCTCGGCCGGAGGCAATTCCTTAATACCCACACTTTCCTTATGAACGGTGGCTTCGTTTAGGGTTTCAATTAAATGAGATTCGATTTCTAAAACATTATCCTCGGGGCTAGGGGGTACAGAGGTAATGAAAATTTCCTCTGATTCTTTTTCTTGTTGCTCGAATTCGGGTGGATTTTCTGGAGTTGCTTGAGGACTAGGTGTTTCTATTTGAGGGCCGGGGGTAAAGATATCCCTTTTCTCGGATTGTTTTTCAGGTGTTTCTTGATGAGGGCCTGGAGTTTCTATTTCAGGACTGTAAGAGGTATTGGAGATAACAATTTCCTCTGTTTCTTTTTCCTCTTGTTCGAAATCTGTTTCCTTTTCGAGAGTTCCTTCTTCTTCGTCTTCTGTTTCTTCCTTTGGTGATGTATTGTTGTTAGTAGGGGCAGAGATGTTGCTGGACGGGAATACTTCTTCTGTTTCTTCCTCTTCTTCTTTTGTAGTTTTGGCGGGGGCGGTTTGTTTGATTATAATTGTCTTAGCTAAATTTTCTGTACTAGAACTACTGACTAGGTTCTTACGGCTAGAATTTGCATCGTCGTTAACATTGTCGTCGTTGTGCGTTTTAACGAACTCCTTCGTGGATTGTTGCGACACATTCACCGGGCTATTTTCATTGGCGTCTTTCTTTTGCTCGAACGGCTTTATCGCTGCTGGGCTAGCTTCCTTGATTTCTTCTGTGGCATTTATTGGACTAAGTACTTGAAGAATTGCGGGTTGATCGATTGAGATTTCATTGGATCCAGGTAATGACACTACAAAAGGGGGGAGATAGAAAAAAAAATATGTTAAAAATTTTTGAAAATTTACAAGAGGCAAACATACACAAAATTTAGTACATGTACTAAATATATATTTATTTGATATTCCTTGAACTTTTTGGTGTTGAGGTTACTTAAAAATACCAACAATACCAAATAGCAGGTGAGGTATATGATGATCACACTTATTTGCTCTCTGCCTCCCAGTAATGTGAGCGAGAGGAGAGAGAGACAATGTTCAATGCCGTTACACAGAATATATACTAGTCGTGGTACTGATATGATAGGAATGAAAACGATATAAAATATATGCATGATAGTGTTGAACAGGGTTGCCATATGACAGCAATTTAGCTGTATTTGTTATAGAGAATAATAGATCTATAATAACATTTCCGAGATCAGATTTTTTTGCCTACACCTTCAGGTCTATAGAAACAAATTCTTAAGTCTTAATGTGAAAAACGAAGGATGAAGAAATAAATTATTTATCACCTTGTGTTCCAAGTCCTCGAGATTATTTTTCAATATGGAAAAATTGTATCTAGACGTTGTTGTCTATGGAAAAAACACTGTTGTCTAAGGACTGAAATCTATTCTCAGGATTGAGAGCTTATGGAAAGACATGCCTCTGATTCTCAAATGTATATCTCAAGACAATGTTCTGATTGAAATCTTATTTATTATAAAGAAAAATAGGTCTACAATAAAATTTCCGAAGACAGATTTTTTTGTCTACATCCTCTGGTCTATAGAAACAAATTCTAAACTTTTAATGTGAAGGATGAATACATAAATTCTTTATCACGTTTTGTTCCAAGTCCTCGAGATTATTTTTCAATATAGAAAAATTTTATCTAGATGTTTTTCCTTAAAAAAAAAAATTATATTGTTCCCATAAAAAACAGTTGTCATTAATTTGTCGGCCAATCTGAGTTTCTTGTTAATTGTTTTTGTTGTTGCTTTTGGCAAATACGTTCATAGTTTTTAATAGCTTCTGTGATAGATATTAAGAATTGTCTAAAAAAAAAAACTAAAATCCATTATTAAATTAAAGGGGCCTAGCTAGTATTTGTCTATAATATATCCTGTTTACATGGCATGGTCTAACACGTCAGTACAGGTGCAGATGTAAGTGGATATTACAGTGGCTCCAAGAAAATAAAAAAAAATTAAATTTATTCCACAAAAAATAAACGATGTCCATTATTTTTTTCTGAATCCCTCAAAAATATTTAAAAGAAGATCCATGGTCCCGGATTGGCCTTCAAAAAAAAAAAAAATATATATATATATATATATATAAACGTTAACAAAATATTTAAAACAATATTTAAAAAAGGCTTCCAAAAGTATTTAAGAAATATCTACGACTTTGGTATGCCTTCAAAAACTATTTATCAAAAATAGAAATCCTTAAAGAGCTATGCAAATTTTAATTTTTTGTTTTGACATCTTTGATAAATAGACGGATCTGGACATATCGAAGAATAACACTGTGAGACAATATCGAAGTCATGATCTGGGGTGAAAAATTGCTATTCTGGATTAAAGGCCTTGGTGAGTATATGAAACTCTAGAAGGAAAAATTGGCCAAAGTTCGGAAATATCTGGTGATCATTTTTTGCTGGCGACCCTACATGAACGGAACTACAACTACCACGGAACTCTAATTTTTACACGGATGTTTATTTTGAGCCTTGTCAATATTTCGTGATATTTGCACCCTCTTGACCGATTAAAGATCAACTTCTTCCTTACACTGAAATATTTTCCGAATATTCCTAATATTCAGTACAGCACTTCTAATTACTTATCCAGATTCCCTTCACCGTGGTTGTATTGTGATTTTCGGATTGTGTCCTATGTTTTATGTTCTCAGTCCCCTTCATCAAAAAATTATTATCTGATAATCACCCAAAAATATAGGCGTTGTCATTGACCATACATGGATACTCATGGAAAATTTCAAAGCGATCAGCGCTATATTTTCGCTCTCTAGTGTGATATTGCGTTACCAAATAATATCTGAATACGTAAGCACCTGTGAATATTTAAGTGTAACTCCCACATCCGAGTACATACGACAGTATAATCGGCATCAATTTAATGGCCAACCACTCTTCTTGGATATACTATTAACTTCTCGGGGTAAATATACGATTTAGAATACAAATTTTGTAATTTTTCGCACAAAAATCTGGGTCCATTTGACTCGCTAAATATTGACCAATCTTTATCAAAACAGTAAAAATTCGCTATGTTTGGGCCATAATTGCGGCCTCTGGAGAGACCAGAAAATCAGACAAAAATAAAGTTGTTGGTCCATTTCATTTCCTAAATATTAGCCGATCATTACCAAAAACAATAGGGGTCTTCATTGGCCAGAACCCATCCTACATGCAAAATTTCGTGAAGATTGGTCCATAACTGTGGCCTGTATCATGTTTACGAATTATAGGACAGTCGGACGGACGGACACACATGTCTAGATTGATTCAGCTAGTCAATATATGGCGATCGGTATACTTAAAGGTGAGTCTAGGACCAATATTTCGCGGCATTACCAACTCTTGGGGCTGCACAACGCTATAATAACCTGACAACATAGTTGTGTAGGGTATAAATATATATAGTTAGGCTAAAAAAAATTGCAAGGAAGAAAGAACCGGTTTTTTTTATTTTTGAACCGGATATTTAGATAATAAAACCGGTTTTAATACCTGATATGCATACCATTAGAAAGCTAATAAACAAATGCGCTAAATTTATTGAAACAGACTATTATCGGTTTCGTTATGTGAATATCCGGTTCAAAAACCATATATGTTTTTAGTATAAAAATTTAAATTTTCCACTTCATTTTTAATCGAAGTAATATGAATTGTTTGGCATCCTAGGTCTAGGGTTTTAATAGGTGCTGCTTATAACAACCCTGTGGATATTTAGAGGGTTGTATGTAACATTTTAAACTTTATTTGATTTTTTTTTTGTATTATGCTTCAGATAATTTTGTTTATTATCATCATATTTTTTCACTTTGAGTCACTGTACTCTATAAACTATTATTTCATTTCTTTTTGTTATTACGTTTTACAGCAAGTAATAGACAGAACATTCAAAATACAAAATCTTGTCGTTAATGCTTTTGAATGGCTCTTTTATTATAGCCAAATGCCGCCAAAGCAAGAGAACGAAAAAGAAACCAACGCCTTGCTTTCTCTCTCACACATTCACTTCGGAAGATGAAACAGATTTTGAATCTTGGCCAAAATGTATTATTGTTGTAGCAAAAACAAAAAACCGATACCGAAAAAAAAACACGGGGCAATTACGAAATTGTTTTCAATTTCCTCTCCATGTATTCAAGAGATTTTCAATTTTTTGACGTTTTTTTTCTTTTGGAATTTTATTTTTGTAATGAAAACAAAAATCTTTTGGGGACGAAAGACACTGATGACATTGTCATGTTGATAATACAAAACATACTTGCTAAAAATTGATTGTTTTTAGGGAAGTTTTTTTAATTCTTAATTAAAATTTTTTATTAGAACTTTGGAACTTTATCACCTTCTTGTAATCATCGACGTGTAATGAGTCACCAGTAATAATTCCAAATATGTTTTTCTTAAGCCGTTTTACAAAATCTCTTTTTTTATTTGCTTTTCAAAAGTAGACACTGAGCCTGAGTGTTAATTTGTTTTTTCTTAATTCACTTAGTAATTTTTTTATAATATATATTTTAGTATTTATTCTTAACTTCTTTTTATTATTTTTTGATTTTCGTTGGCCAATTTGAAATACTTGAGAAAACAATTCACAAACCGCCCGTCCGTACCGTGCAGATTTCAACTACTAAATTGTTAATTTTCTTTTTTGCTTGGTATGACCCCAAAAAATTATGTTTTCTGTTTTTGGGTTCTCTTTGTTTTAGTTGTGTTTCTTCTGCTCGAAGTTTTTCCTTTATGTCTATATATCTTTTGCGATTTAGTTGAGGAGCAGAACAATTGGCTGATTCTTGTCCCAAAAAATAATGATGATGATGATGATCTCCACCTCTTGCTAAATATTAACGGCAACAACAACAACAGATCATGCCACACTAGCTCATCTCCGCAGAAATGAGAGCAACTAATATTTTTCTTTAAATTGCTCCTCTTCTTTTTGTTTTTCTTTTTGGTGTTCTCTTTCGCTAATTTTGAAAAATGTTGCACGTCCACGAATTTTCCCTTTCGGTTGGCCCATTTTAAACTAAATATTATTTTGTTTTGTTTGATTTGTTTTATTGTTTATTTTCAAACAGCAACAACAACATCAAACATTGCATACGTGGCTGGGCCAATAAAATCAACCAACACTTGCCCTTTGGCCTTCGGCGGAATTGCTTTTATGTTCATTTTTTTATAGCGACACAGTGGTGTGAAGAAAAAAAATTATCTCTTAGGAGAATATACAGCAACTTTATAAAAACGACCAATTCGATGAAGTCGTCTTGGGGAATGATTATAAATATTTTCGTTCATATTATATTTGAATCAAATTCAAAATATTAAATTGATGTTAATCTGGTTTAAAAAAAAAAAATCTATGTTTTTAGGAAGCCCTTAAAATATATCAAATGTCGAAAAAATATTTTTAAAAATCCACGCTTTCAAATTAAGTTTTCAAACAGGATTTCACAAAATATTTAAAAATACCGACGTCCGTAAATGGTTTTCAAAAAAATATTTTGACAATATTTAAAAAAAGGCTTCCAAAAGTATTTTGAAAAAATCCACGACTTTCACATACCTTAAAAAAACTATAAAAAATCTAAGATTTTAAAAAGCATTGAGAATTTTCGTCTCGTTTCGTTTCGTTTCTTTTTTTTTTGTTTCCACATGTTTAATAGGCGTTTAAAATATACTTAAAAAACGACGTCCTTGGTGTGTGTTTAAAAAAGCTTGAAACCAATTTGCGTCCATAATATAAAAAAAAATATTTTAAAAACTCCA